AAGGTTACAACCTTATTAAAACTTTTCCTTTTTATATATAATGATGATATAATGGTAAAAGAATACAACTCATATACAATTTACATTGTCAGCATTTTCTCATGTATTTTACATGCAATACATATTTTCTTATCTTGTTACGTTCTCTCATATTTTCTTGCATGTGTTGTGCATGATTGCCTTAAAAAGGAAATGACCATATTTCTACCCTGAGGCCTTTCCAAAAACCAAATTTTGTTTCTGATTACCACATGTATGACAGACTTCTACATATTGTGAAGGAATCTCCATTGATCCTAGAGTTTGTCCTAACACGCATCCCAAATTGTTTAAAGTTTTTGGATGTTGGGGATACATTTCTCTCTTCTAATTTTTGTTGCAAGTGTGATTGTAGTAGTACATGCCCTGGAATATGACTTTAACCCACTCCTAAAGTTTGTGCCTCTTTTTTGTGCTATGCACTGTTGAGAATAGTTTTTTTATTTATTTTTTAATTATCATTTGGACTATATGGAAGAATTTCTTGTGATTGGTTTTGAAAGATTGAAAACCTAAGTCACAGCAGAGTACATTCTTGTTTCCTCTTGCTCCCGAGTTCGGTTGAGCTATAAACTATTGATTTTTTATTAATAGTATGATCTGATAGCTGTGAAAGGTTAATTGTGGCCGACTATTTTAAGTAATATCTCCTACCCTTGATGGGAGGAACCATAAGTTTTTGGGTATTTAATATGAGGTACCACTTTACCTTTGGGGTCTTGTGAAAGAGAATTTGGAGCTATCGGGCATACCATTTTCAAGAGGCATAACCTGAAAGCCTGCTTGGGGTAGCCCAAAACTCTGATTGAAGATCTCTCCGAGATGTACACGTCCAATGTTTTTGGTGTTTTCTTAAATTGGATGTTTCAAGCTTCAAATCATGGTAAAAAATTTGATTGAAAAATCAAATACTAATTTATTTTTCCTTAGGTTTCCTTCTTTTCATTTTGATTTCTGTAATTGGGTTTTATTTTTAGCTTCTTTATGTAATTAGGCTTTTAGAAAGTATGTTCCAGTCCCAGTTGGATTATAAACCCCTTTTGAGTTTGATACTTTCCTAGTCTTTAGGAGTTTGTTTTATATGCTTTTATGAACCGTTGGCCTATGGCTAATTCATTTGATGTTGGCAATAAAGATTATGTTTTTCTTTTGTGAGTCTATTAAATGAGGTAGTGATTCCTTTACCTCGAGGAGATTCCTTAAACTCTTTTTGTAGAGAATGATTAGCTTAATGTTGGAAGAGTGTCCCCATCAAGTTCTAGTGTCTTCTTCGCCTAGCGAAGAAAGAAGTAGACCCTTGTTTTTTTCATTCTCCATGATGCTTCCCCATCCAGGATTCCCCTCAACTAAATTCATCACCCAATTTCTTCCCCATCAAATCGACCCTTCCTAAGCCCTGCTAACCTACCTTTTCTCCTTCCCAAACCCATAATTCATACCCCTAAGCCCACCAACCTTAAATCAGCTTTGATTTCGCCTCATGCCTTCAAATCCATCATTTACCCTTGCTGGACTTTTAAATTTTCCAGCAACTTCAAGCCTAATAGATCCTCTAAAACCAACCCTAATTGTTGCTCTGATCCTGCTTAACACGTCCCCATCACCCTAGCTTCACTCCTAACCTACTAAGGATTCATATTCCTCAAATCTGATTCAAATTAGGAGATATCAGTACCTGAAAACCTTTCTGTCCTAAATTTTGTAAACTCACTAGGATTTCTATTTAGGAATCCCAATCTAGTAGGACTTCTAACTTCATTAGGAAACTCAACCTCCCTACTCCTTTTTCAATTTGGAAACCTAACCTCAATTGGACTTTATTCCTGCCCTAAATTTCTTGACCCATCACACATCCCGTCCAAAAATCCCTTCAAGAGTATTATAGTCTGTAGGAGATAAGTTCCCTTGGTCCGGCATCAAATGTCCTCCACAACTGATCTGTGATAGCTCCAAGCACCACTGTCCCATCACCCAGCAATCTCCTCCCTCAGATAAATTCCTAACCCTGCCAATCCAGTTCCTCTAAGAGACGCCATCAAAATTGGATTTTAAAGAGCCTTCCCCCACATATGAGATGGCCTTCTCCTCCCTCAGGCTCTCAAAATTCAATTTTGATGGTAGCTCATTCACGTCTGGGTTGGAAGGGGTTGGGAATTTGTTTTGAGGCCAGTTTTGATCTCCCATTTTGGTTTTGTTTGACTCTATCGGGGAGCTAGTACAATGTATCTGTAGTTAGAGTTCTTCTCATTGGATTGGAGCATTTACTCAAGAGCGGGGATCGTTATCGGAGGGAGATTTCAGTAATCAAGCTTTCACCTCTTGGGGATTTTCTTTTCTTTTTGATGAGGTTTTTGAATTAGGCCAAGGAAGGGTATTTTATCTACATGTGCTGCATGGCACCAAATGATCTCTGACTCTTTTGATGAAGGAGCATGTATATCGCACCTCCCTCATCTTTAGAAGTTCATTTCCTTTACCCAGCTTTGGCTCAGGGTTCACATCGTTGTGAAACGTGCATGTTCAATGCATCGTTGTGTGCACAGTGAATAAAACTAATTCCCATTTTGGAAAAACTCTTCAGTTGACTCGATTCATCTAGAAGATGAATTTTATAGATGAAAAACCTTGGATGTCCCTGAGTTTTTCCTTCTATGTGATGCTTTAGCTGAATTTTATAGATGAAAATATTGGATGTCCCTGAGTTTTTCCTTCTATGTAATGCTTTTGTTGATTTAACCAACAAATAATATCTATTGGATTGGTAGCATTATGTTATGATAAGTTGATGACCTAGATTCGATTCCCATAATTGACACATTGCACGTTCATAAACTTTTCACAATTTTGAATGATTCACCGAATTTTTCTGAGTTTACTATTTGACTCAGCCTGTCAACTCTGTTTTGGCAGTGAGCGAGGAAGTTATCTAGCTTGAGGATTAAACATTGGTCACAAAAGTGAGCAAGAGTTGATTAGTCCCTCAGGGAGAAGTGATAGCATTTTGGCAAGGGGCCAGTGATTCAAAAAGCGGACCGCTCAACGCCTTGGCGGATCTGGGGGCCTGGGCGCATCGCCCGGGCTTAGGCGCCCAAAACAAGCGGTGGTTCATGGGCGCCTGCCTAGGCGCCTAGGAAACCGCTTAGGCGGCTGCCCTGCACCCAGACTTGGGCGGCCGTCCAGGTCCAGTGCCCTGCCCAGAGGCAAAAATAGCTTTCGATGGGGGCATTTTTTGTTCATTTTTTTTGTATACGAATTGGCAAACATGGGGGTTTTAGGTTCATTTGAAACCTAAAACTTATTGAAGCTCATTTAGAGAGAGAAAGCCCCCAGAAAACTAGTTTTTTGGTAATTTCTTTAGGATCGAAGGGTTTCTCAAAGTAATGATAAATTAATCAAAACATCACCCGTTGATATTAGATTTAATTTTTGATGTTTTATAAATCTATTGGGGTTTTTTAGAAGATTTTGAGTACTTAGAAGTATCTTTGGGGAGGGGTGTCAAGAGGTAGAAATAGAACAATCCATTATTCGGGGAAAGGGAAAGGGAGTTGTAATTGCTTTTGGTTCTAGTTATGTGAGTAAGAAGCCTCAGGTTAGAGGCCCTATGGATAATGTTTTTCCTTGGCTTGACCTTGAGGTTGCAGGAGGGAAACAAAGAAGCAAACCACCATTGAAAATAGAATGAAGAAGGAAGAGAGAGATAGAGTTGCTTATTATCTTGCTACATGGTTTTATGAGGCGAGCATTTCTTTCAATACCGCTTGCTTAATCAGCTTTTATGCCACAGAGGAGGACGACTAATATGTCGAGGAGGGTGACTACTCCGATGAATATGATGCCAATGCCGCTGACCCGAATTTTTTTGATGATGAATGATGAATGCTGAATAATTATTGAACTTTGAACTTTGATTGAATTATTGTCTATTGAAGTTTCTTTTGAGTATTCAAGTATTACTTGCATTTTTGTTTTCTCGCTTATGGTGGTGTAATACTGTAATGTGATTTGTGGATAGTGGATTTGTAGTTCCACTGGTTTGGTAATTTGGTTGGTTGGTAAATTTTATGTTTTAATTGAATATGGATTATGGACCGACTTATGGTTATCTTTATGGAGTATGTGCTAATGTGTAGTATACTTTGAATTTTGATGTGCCCTAAATACCTAATTTTTATATTTTATACAATATATAATTGTAGAATCCTTTTTGGATTCAATTGGGCTGCCGCCCAGGTTCTGGGCGCTCGCCTAGGCATTGGGCGGCTTGGACCCCCCAGGCCACCTACCCACCCAGCGCGTTTTGAAACACTGGCAAGGGCATATTGTGCTAGTTACACAGGCTTTTGCCTTAACATCTTTCGGGTTGTTTCTAGCTTGTTGGCGGTCAGTCATTATATTTCATACGCCTCTCTCTTTTCCCTTTAAGTATTAATGGTAATGTCTATGTTCCATTGGAAATTTTACAGCTTGTATTCCTTGATCGAAGGATGGGTTGGTCATGTTGCTTCCCATGTTGATAATTCTGATGGTTGTTTGCTGTGTTTATGTGGTTCCCATGTTGCTTCCCATTTTCATGTGCTTGCGCTATGTTTTTGCATGTCTCATCTGTTGTGGATATCTGTAGGTGCTTATGTGTGTACACAAAGATGGCGTCTCTGTTGGATCTCTGTAGGCTTCTGTGTAAATGTTCTATGAAATTGTTATGTTCTTTATTTGCATTTGCACCAGCTTTTCCCTTGGCATTCTTTTTCTTTTTGTTTTCCTCTTGCCACAATTCTTTCTGCATTTTATCAATAAAAAAAGGAAGCAAAATTTCTTCAAATTTAAGGCGCTGAGGTTCCTCGTGTTTGATTGGAAAATTTTGGTAACTTCCATTAGTTATACGAGTAGTGCCAGTATTTTATTTTCTGTGTCTTGTTGTGTATTTATTCTTATCTTTGTTCTTATTTTCTCTTTTGAAGCGCACTGAGGGACCGGCGTTTCCCTCCTATTCAAGCCAGAGAATTACCCTACTTGGAATGTACAGTTTCCATTCTGACTGATTATGAATCTGCTCTCCACTATCTTGATTGGGAGGTCCATCTCTTTCTTTTATATTGTTTTAAGTTCTAATAATTCATGTGCATCCATGTATAATTCATCTTCAGTTGCATAAAATTTGTAATTGCACTTTTTTCTTGTGTAACAGCCTTCATAAATTTGTTGTTTGTTGTGTTCCTTATGAGCTTTGTTTTCTTGGTCCTCCTTGATGCGGTCTGTTGTCTTTCTGATTGCAGGTTGGAAAGCATGGTCTAATTATTGAATTCAATGATTCTGACAACATAAGACGCAGTGCTACGTATTTGCCTGAGGTGGCTGCCCAAGAAGGTATTCTTATATTGGATTCTGCTGTGCTGCTTTTTAAGTTCTTGTTTTTCTTTTGCTTTAGAGAAACACCATTTCTCTATTTGGTTTTCACGGATGGCTTCTAGACTTGAGCCCTGGCTTTTTTTCTTGTGCTCTTGTCACTTGTATTTTACATTGCACACTTATATGTTGCATTTTGTAATAGAGTGCAACAAAGATCCAGTGACACATGTATTTTACATTATACACTTGTGTGTTGCATTTTTGTAATAGAATGCAACATAGATCCAATGCGAATTCAACTGGCTAATGACGAGTATTGGAGCTGACAACATTTTGGGCTGTTCATGTGTTATAATAGGACACACAACACGTACTTGGATACAAATGGAAAAAAATAGTTTTTTCCCACTCACAAAAGAGTAGCATATTGGGTGTCCACCAATATCTAATGCCAGAGAGGCATCCAGAATGCCACACTCCACCATGTTGCAGCAAAGTCTAAAGGAAACAGCTTTTTTTTTTTTGAGAAAGTTAACTTTTATATTAATAGATTATAAAGATACAAGTGAGAGTACTACGAAATTTAGGCAATCCCCTTAACAGGGTGCTCTAGACAAAGACCTTTGAGGGTACATAAAACTCTCCAACAGATCCAAAAAAAGAGGGGGTGAGTGTTAAGGGGGGTTGGGATTCCCTTGGGAAGAGTTGATACTAGCTCCCTCTCTTGCTAAAGCATCTGCCTCATCGTTAGCTTCTCGATGGGTGTGTCTTCAAGAGACTTGAATACTGCTACTTAGGTGGGCAATTTTGGCAAAGATGTTATCTAGTCTTCACATGCAGGGGGCAATGTCGGATGCCCACGCAAAGGTGTTACTGGAGTCCCTTCTAGTGTCACTTGTGTGCTCTGTAGAGGATGAAATTTTCTAAGTCCCTCGAGTAGAGCCTTAGCCTTTGCTACTGTGGAGTCCACAACTCCTATAAGTAAGGCGTAGGATAGGAGGATCTACCTTTCTGAGTCCCTACATAGGCCTCCGATGCCTGAAGGGCCCGGGTTACCTATGGAGCCTCCATCGAAATTTAACTTGATAGCCCCGGTTCTGGTGGCCTCAATATCCTTTCCACAATAATTACATTTAATACAATTTTTATCACTTGGATTTGGGTTATAACCATGCTTCCAACCCGGATCAACACTCCTACTAGACCCTGGAGAAGATACTTCCATAGAACAAAGCTTATGTTCATCCTTTTTTGGTTCTTCTAAATTTAGAAGATGTCTAATCTCATCCTGAACTGCTTCAGAAACCTTTGTACAAGAAGCAACATTACCTCTAACACCAGCAAGGTGTTTTTTGAATCGGCTAATACCTCCATTGATATTTTTTTCACTAAAATTACACCTTATACAATTTTTATCATTTGGTTTTGGGTTGTACCCATACTTTCAACCCGGAACACTTCTTCTATAAGTAGCAGAAATAGATCTATAACAAGGATTTTGTTTTTGTTTTTCTTTTACATGACTTATATATTGCTTAATCTCCTCTCTGATAGCTTCAAGAACATTTTTACAAGGGCCAACATCCCCCTTAATACCGGCTACATGTTTCTTAAACCGGTTTATGACTCCTTTCGTCTCTTTTTCACAAAAATTGCATCAAACGCAATTTTTGTCAATTGGATTCAGATTGTATCCATATTTCCAATCCGGATCTCTACTCCGGATCTCCACTCCGACTAACTCTTGAAGAAGACATCTCAAAATAAAACAAGCAATCTAAAAAATAAAGTTTTGCACTTATTTTGATTGCTCAAACTCCAAACTTTGAGAAATACTTTGATCCAATGAAATGTAGGTTTCTGGAAGTTTATTTCTCTCTAAAAGAGGTTCTTGTGGGTTTAGGTTTCAAATGAACTTAAAACCCCTCCTTCTAACCTTTTATATCTTTAAAAAAAAAAAAAAAATTTCTGCCTCTGGGCGGGGTGCAGGCCCTGGGTGGACCACCTAAGCGGGTTCCATACCGCATAGGCGGCCACCCCGGGGCCACTGCCCAGTTTGGCCACCTAGGCCTGGGCAATGCGCTCAAGCCCTCTAGATCGCCCTAGGCGCTAGGCGGTTCGTTTTTTTGAACACTGCCTCCTACGTACGATAATAATGAAGGGAGGGTCGCCGAAGACTTCAACTCTCTCAGAAAGCCCGACTTCTCGCTATTTGCTTGGGTTCCATACTGAGCATTTCCAAAGGAGAGAATCTTATATTCTTTCAAGGATCATAGTGACTGAGTATCTGCTAATCTGAGAGGCAACTAAGGGATGCTGGGTTGGGTCCCAGAGAACCCAGATTCCGCCTGATGCACCTAACGCATCCAGAGCGACCCATTAGAAGGGGCGAAAGCCCCAAATTTACCTAATTTGAGAGGGGGGAGGAGAAGGGAGTTTGGTTTCCACCAAGCCGAGAATAGAAGGAGAAAACTGAGAAACAGACTGGGTGACATTACTCCGCTTGTCCAGGTGGCCCAAATCCTTTATGTTCCAAATTAGGATCTTCATAACACGTATAAGGGGTTTGGGGCACTCCTAATCGAGCGGCGGGAAGGCTGAGATGCCGAGAGAGAGTCGAGGGGCTGAGTTGAGGTTTCTTCTTTATCATACCGTTTACCAAAAGACAGTTTGGAAAGCTCTCTGGAAACTCTTTGGTTGATGACGAGAGCCTTTGCAGTGGCCTTCTTGTATTTCTTCTGGCATGTTGATTCTCTATCTGCTTTGATGAATGCTTCTAGGGCTTCATGGGAGCCATTGAACTGGAACCCCATCACTGATAGGAGCTCATGAGGGGTACCTTGAGCTTGATCAATAGCATCCATGAAGCTTGAATCCACTGAGTTCATTGAATGAGACTCTGAGGAAGAGGAGAGGGAGGAGTTATCGATGGAGAGGGGGTTTTGACGGGGAGGGGAGCTAGGTTGCTCTCCACCAAGAGAATAAGGTAACAAGGGGGAAGGAGCACCCATAAGGGGGAATATGAAAGGAGAGATAACCTGGGGGAGTGGTGGCTTTTTGGGGTAATTTGAGGGTGGTAACTTAGTCAAAGGGCGACGGCATGTCGCCAAATGAAGAGCACTCTGTGGGAACTGTGATGTTAGGTCATGGCTTGACAGGATGGGGTTAGCAGCAGCTTCAATTGATTGGGTGGGGGTTTGAAGAGAGAGGAGGAAAATCTGAAGCCTCTGAGCTGGTGAGGGGGGATTTAGACCTTCAAGGAATGGGAGAAAAGGCTTGGACACTGAAGGTTGGGGGCTCAAGCGGCGAGGAAGTACCCGTGGGACCAAACATGGGTGGATGAAAAGGGGTTGGCAAGGGCAAAAGAGACAAAGCTTGGTGAGAGGATGTGTGTCCATCTGCCGAGGAGGGGGGGGGGGGGGGGTTGGGAATAGGTGTTTGACCAGGCTGAGGGTTGAGCGAGAGGAGAGAGAGAATGGGAAGTTGGCACGAGGGATGCGTGCAATTGTCCATCGTCGTATTGTGGAGTAGGTGGTGGGAGACCTGTCAGATCAGGAAATGCGTCACCACCTACCGAGGCGAAGAAAGTTTGGGGACATGTGGCTTGCCCAGCTGAGGGATTTGCAAGAGGAGAGAGAGAAGGAATTTGGCAGGGGGGGTTGCTTGCAGCTCTCCTCCAACCTTATAGGGATCAGAAGCGGGGACCCTTGTTTTCTCTGAAGGGAGGTTACTTGTGGTGATCATGTGATCAACAAGATGCTTATCAGGAGGCAAGGGGAGAAACAAGGGGGGCAGGGATCCATGCGCTTGCTCGAGTTATAAATGGTCAGATAACCCGTGATCGATAGGAAGCACACCAGAAGGGTTGCGGTGAAGGTCAACCAACAGAGGGCCACATGGCTGCGCCAGATGAGTGGGAAGAGCCGCCTTCTCAGGAGCCTGGGGTAGGGATTGGGATTGGGGGTGCCGCTGATCATCTTGAGAGGTTGGGGAGCTCTTGGATCTGGTTGCCAAGAGATGCAAGAATTATTGGGAGCCGGGTGATCAAACCTAGGACAGTTGTGATGGTTTCTCTGCCGGTCTCTATGCGAGACGATGGTCCAGCCATCCTGGTGTATTCCAGGTCTCTGGCATGGTGGTGCGACGGGGGGTGAAGCAGAAGACCAGGCTAAGGGGATATTGAAGAACACGCCCTCTGCTTCAAGCCAAAATGGAAGGAGGAATGAGGGAGGGAGCGAGCGTTTCCACAAGAAGCTAGATGGACCCAAGAGGAAGGGTGCCTGAGGACCTCCAATGGACCGCAATAAAAGCGCTGCAAGAATCCCCTATTTTCTTGAAGGTATCGATGTGCCATACTTGCATAGGAATATGGGTGGCCTGAAGCCATATTTTTTGCGGATGGACTGCTCCTTGGTTCTCGCTCCATGCAGAAAGGGCGAGAGAAGCCCCTTTAAACCAATGTTTGGGTCCCCCTACATAGCGTTGCTCCGGCTAGCATCTGTGGGGAAAGAGTATAAAACTTCGCCAGTAGACGAGCGAGACAAGTAAGGTCATGAACTGCCTACACTTCCCTGCTCCATCTGTCAATGCCTTTGGTATCATTCCTTGGGGGGGGTGAATCTACCCACCAATGAGGACCTCAGAGCCTTCACGATGTGGGTGGAGTGAGGGCCCCCTACTGGAATGGCGAATGGGGCAACCAGGGGGACAACCAGGGGGACAACCAGGCGGGAGCAAGAGCTGGCTGACAAGGAGGGGAGAGGGGTATTGGGAGCAGGATTGGGGGCTGGGAATGAGGATGGAGGATTGGCGGCTGGGTAGGGAGGAGGATGAGGGAATGGGAGATTAGGTTGTGCACAGACCAGAGGTGCCCCATTCTGGATGAGATGGGAGTAGTTGTGGTACAGGGTGGGAAGGGGAGGAGGAGCATTAGAGGGATGACGGACAGAGAAGCACACGGCTCTGGGAAGAGCTGGGCGAGGATAGAAGGACATTAGGACAGTGGTCTGGTCACATCTCAAAACTAAAAGAAAAAGTTTGTACAAGGTTGCAACCTTAAAATGTAGAATTAAGGCGCACCTCAAAAATCCAACATAAGACGTTGTTTTGATATTGGAGAACCCTCTAATTGATCATCTCGACATTGAGATGTATGAATATGAAAAGAAAAAAATATTTCGTGTCCTAAAAATAGCGTATCTTGCAACACATTATCTGGGCTGTCCATTTTTAAGTGTTTATAGATCTACTTCATTTGAACTATTTTTAGAGTTTAAAATTTTATAATTAGAGATGAAAATAGATTCTCAAGCCATCCTAAGAATTTTTGCACCAAAACTATATTCATAATAAGATTTAGAGGTACGCCTTAATTTGATCGTTTAAGGTCACTTTCTCAGTTGTTTTTCAGCACTCACTTTGGCCATTTTAAATGAGTTGGTTGCTCAAAGAATTGCACATATTTTTGCTGCTGTGGACTCAAGATGTCTATTTTGGTTTCTTGGTTGTATTCGCTTTAGAAAAGAACATTATAGAATAAAAGTCCATTGTGTGGATACGTGTTTTTGGACTTGTCAGCATCATGGGCACCTAGAAAGGAAAGAAATGAAACTGCACAGTCATAGCACCATGAATTTTGATTGTGATCTTGAACCGTTCGACTTGGGGTTTTGTTCAGCCTGGGGCAGGATTGCTTCAAGGTAAAGGTTTACGTTGTTTCGTTTAATTGTATGACTAAACCTGTATTATTGGTAGCAGTTGCATGCAACTTATTAGAAAACAGAGGTATATGGAGGCAATGAAATTCTATATCCTATGCGGTACGAACACCGCTTCCCTCAAAGAAAAAGAATAATCTTTGGAACCTGTTATGATTCTTCCCTTGGGTCATTTCCCTCATGCAAAAATAATGTAATTTCTCTCTTAACTCATAGAAGTTCAACAGTATTTTAACACATTTGGGTGCACAACAGGTTGGACAAAGGTTGAGACCATTGAGTCGCTGATGCGTAAAGCTGGCTACAACGGCACCATCACGGAATCTCTTCGCAAAAGAATTCGACTCACTCGCTACCAGAGCACGCTCTATACCATGCACTTCAGTGATTATGCAAGCTATGTGAAAAATACTAGGGGAACGGTACCTGCGATTCTTGGATCAAAGGCCATTCATTGATCCAAAAGCAGCTTCTGTTACAAAGAAGCTACATATTTATGAAAAACTGATTTGCAGTTGGGTTAAGGATTTTGGTCAAGTGCCATGATCTGTTCTTTATTGCTAATTGCTTTTGTCCTCATTGGTGTTCAAATTCCTTTGAAAGAAAGGATTTGAACTAAAAACACTGTGATTTATACTAAAAAATGGAACTAAAAACACTTTGATTTATACTCAAAAGTGGACTTAAAAGCATGTATAGACCCATGCATTAGTTTTCCATTGTGATGGAAATGATAGCTGGGAAGATATTTAAGATCGTGTCTATTGTTGTTAAGGGGGTGTGTGTGCGCGTGTTTGTGAATGTGTGTGCATGTGTGGATTGAAGGGCCTAATTCTGCTCGTTTTGTGTGTACGTGTCATGCATGTGATCGGAGTGGGGACTAATACTGAGGCGGTGTACATGTAATTGAGAAATTGAGGGGATTAAAGTTTGCTTACTGGGGCATGTTAGAGCTTGGAGGTAAATGAAACGGGGGGAGAAAGATCAACTGAAACCAAAAAAAAAAAAACACAAAAACAAAACAAAAGCAGCAAAAAAAAAAAAAAAGAAGAGAGGAGAGAATAATTGTCCTGTTTTGTAAACAATATGGAGTTGATAATAAAACAAATAATAAAGAGAACGAATGATTTTCTTGTTATAAGGTAGCCTGTGATGAGCTATCCCAAGATAAGAGTTGCCACTTACGAAGTATAAACTCTACTTATAGATACAAGGAAAGAGTTTAATTGGTCAGCGCTTGACGATTTGCAACGGTGTCTTAGGCTCAAGTCCTATCAAGGGTAGGGGCCCTCTTCCCACTATCACTGAAAAAAAAAAAAATAGTAACAATTTTACTTGTACATGAACTTATGTTGGGCCAGCAATCGGCATAAAAGAACTTGGACGTTTAACCGGGCCACGACTCGCACATGATTGTGACCAAAGTTCATGTTGCCCACTCGGTCCTTAATTGTGGTTAATAGTTGGCTGAGGTTAACCGTGCTCCGACAGCGGTGCAAGGGCTGAATTAAACGTACACCAAATTTGTGCACGGGCTAAATAGCTGATTCATAGGTCTCTTTAATTTTCAGGCTCCCTCTGAAGGAGAGGCTCATGACTGTTTTGAATGATTTTATCTTTTGTTGTATATTATAGGTTTGTGTCATGGCTTGTGAGGATATGGATTCACCTACGTTTGGAGCTCCAAGATTTCTTTGGCATTTGATGGATCCGAGCTCAAAGAAGGTCCCTGTGATGGAATATGAAATTGGGAAGGTGAAATTTTTTTCCACGAGTCCTATTACCGTGAATGCTCAACTTGAACATGCTTCGCTTTGTAATGGAATGAACTTTTCAGATTTTAGAAGAGCAAGACCTCACCATGGATCAATTCATTGACTTGGGCATTCTTTGTGGATGTGACTATTATGAGAGTATCAAACGTAATGCTGTCTTGAGTTGCTTTTTTTTATAATAAAAACATCGAATTACCATATATAATACGCACATTTTCATGTTTGCAACATTTCATATGTATTTGTTTTGATGATTTAGCCAAAAAAAAAAAGAAGAGACATTTAATTTGCTGATTTTTATAGTATCAAGATCCATTTGCATGAGTGTGGCGTAGTTTGTTTGGTCAAAGTTATTCAACAGCCTTCCGTTTCCTTTAGGTCTGAGATTTAACGAGATCATCATTAAATGCGTCCTCCTTGTTTAAACATGAAAAAAAGAAGAGATAAAGCATTGTCCATTTTTTAGCCTAATTTTTTTATTGGAGAATGTCCATTGTGACTTCTGCTATGAAGGATGCTCCCCACAACCTAATAGATAGAACTGCCTGACAGGCTCCTTCTTGTTGGAGAACTGGTTGTGTCTAATGTGAGTAGATAGCATGTGTATATTAAAGTTGTCTTTAATAAGGATACAATACCTAGATGTGCCTCTTATTGTACATTGTATCTTTTTCTATTCTTAGTAAAAAGAAAAGATTTTGTCTTTTTTTCATTGCTGCATAGCCTCTTAGCTATCTGGAATAATTTCCTTTTTTTGTGCATCAAAAATTACATTCTTCCAATATGGCACTACAGCTTTTTCAGATGGTTCCACATTTACTTCTCCGTGCACTTGCTTGTTTTAGTTCACGATAATGTTACAATATTACAGAATTTGTCAAAAAAAAAAATGCGACAGTATTACACTCTTAGTAATAGTCTCTCTTCCACGCACACATAATACTCTCTCTTCCACGCACACATAATAGCCAACACGATGGCCATTGACACAAACACTTTTAAGTCTCATTCATCTAAACACGAATTGCAACTTCGGGCTTCTCTGCGTTAAATGGCAAAGTTCAACAACCTCCTTCTTTCTTCTTTTTTTTTGGATAATATTTTGAATTTTTAGTAATAAAATGGGTGGTAAAATGCATAACTGAAATTACATCCGTAGAAATTGTAATAAAAGAAATAGTGATGAGTGAGAGATCAACAAAACATATACATGATTCCACAATGGTGCTTATGTCCACGGAAGGTAAACCGGTATCTCAATCATATGGATTACTCTAGTTTATCAGATATTTATCAAGTTACAAATCTTGCCGTTTAGGAAACAAATGACAATACAATAGTAATCCCATAAAATAGGAAACTCAATATAGGGAATTTAATATCTTGTAATATACAAGATAAGAAACTCAATATCTGGTTTCCATAACCATCAACACTCCCCCTCAAGTTGGTGCGTAGATATCAATACAGCCCAACTTGGACAGTATCTGTTGAAACTTTGTCTTTGCAATAGCTTTGGTGAACTTGTCTGCAAGTTGATATTCACTTCAAACATAAGGAATACTAATAATTTTTTACTGAACATTTTCTCTTACATAGTGACAATTAACTTCTATGCACATGGTTCTTTCCTGAAAAACTGGATTGGAGGTAATATGCACAACTGCTTGATTATAATAGAACATCTCCATTGGATTGACCATTGGGAACCCCATATCTTGAAATAGGTATTTTAGCTACATCAATTCACTTGTAATTGAAGTCATAACTCTATATTCGGCCTCTGCATTGGATCGAGCAACTACATTTTCTTTCTTGTTTTTTCAAGTAATTAAGTTTCCTCCGACCAATGTACAATAGCCGGTAGTAGATCTCCTATCAATGGGACTATCTGCCCAGTCAGTATCAGAATAGCCAATAATATTAGTGTGACTATTTGGTTTCAACCAAACACCTCTGTGGAGTGACAACTTAACATATCTGAGAATCCTATCGACAGCTTCCATATGACATGATCTAAGAGCATGCATAAATTGACTAACAGGACTAACCGCATACATTATATTTGGTCGTATCATAGTCAAATAACTTAGTCTACCCACAAGTATTTAAAAGCGGCCCACATCTTCAAGAGGTTTTCCATTTATTGAATTAAGCTTGCAATTAATATCAACAGGAGTGTCAATGAGTTTGACTCCCAGCTGCCTAGTTTCTTTCAACAAATCAACTACATATTTCCTTTTAGAAATAAATAGTATCTTTTTTTTTAATGTGCTACTTCAATGCCAAGAAAATACTTTAGCTGGCTAAGATCCTTGATGTCATTTTTTTTGTAAAGATAATTTTTAAGTTTCACGATGTTTTCTTTATCATTATCTGTAATGATAACATCGTCAACATAAATGAGTACAACTATTATACCTGAAGTTCCCCTTTTTGTGAATATCGAAGAATCGACTGAGGTTCTAAGAAATCTGATACTCGTAAAGGTTGTGTTGAGTTTGCATACCATGCACGAGGTGATTGTTTAAGTCCATATAAAGCCTTTTTAATTTTCATACAAGACCAATTCTCATCTTCCTTAGAATGGCTAGGAGGAAGACTAATATAGACTTTTTCTTCAAGGTCAACATGTAAGAAGGCATTTTTAATATTCATTTGATATAGAGACTACCCACAATTAACTGCAATACATAAAAGAACACGAACAACATTCATCTTGACAACCGGTACAAAAGTCTCTTCATAGTCGACTACATAAGTTTGGGTAAATCCTTTGGCCACCAACCTGACCTTATGTCTTTCAACAGACTCATGACTATTACATTTGATTTTTTAAACTTATCTACATGTAACTGTTTTCTTCCCTTTAGGTAGCTTGCCAATGTCCTAAGTATGGTTATTGTCAACTGCTTTAAGTTCCTCTTTTATGGTCTTCCTCCACACTGGTTGAGAAATAACATTTTGAAAATTGGTTGACTCAAAATTATTTTAAAAAAGAACTAAAAAAGCAAAATAGCTATGAGAGATATTTTCATAAGAAATATACTTTTGAACAGGATAAGAAACTACATAGTAAATATAGAAATCTTGTAGTTTAGATGAAGGTTGAGAGATACGAGAAGACCTGTGTAAAGGGGGATCTGGTGGGGCCACTGTCATGACGGAGTCTTCTTCTTCTTCTAAACTAATTTGGTGAGTTTTAGAGGTATCTTTAGCTTCGACTTGATCATCACGACTTGTTCCGGGTGCGTTGGACACATCACTACTAATATTAGGCAAGGGTAAATGACTTATTGAACACTCCCCATGAGTCATATTATTAAAACCACTATCCAATGTGTCATGAAAATAAGACTCTGTTTCAACAAATTGAATATCTCTAGAAATATGCATTTTTCTGATTGTGGGATCATAACATTTGTATCATTTTTAATTGGAGAAGTATCCAATATGGATACATCTATTGGAATATTTATCAAGTTTATGCCGGTTGTGCCTAGCTACATAAACATAAGACACACATCCAAATACTCACAAATGAGAAAAATCAATTTTTTATTTTCCAAAATTTCAAGGGGAGATTTATCCTTAAGAATTTTACTTGGAAGTCTGTTAAAATATCTTAAGACCAATAAAGTTTTGGAACATGCATTTGAAACATCAAGGACCTTGTAGCTTTCAAAAAGTGCCTATTTTCCCTTCAGCAACTCCAATATACTGAGACGTTCCAGCACACGATGTATGATGTATAATACCAAGATTCTATAAATGCTCAGAAAAGGCTTTGTTCACATACTCTGTGCCATTATCAGTTCACATAATTCTGATCTTTCAGTTGTATTGAGTTGAAATTAGTTTGGAAAATTCTTTGAACACAGGGAAAACTTATGTTTTTTATTTAAATAAATATTCTCAAGTGGCACGAGACCAATCATCAATAAAAGTAACAAAATATTTAAAGCCAATATAAGAATCAACTGGGATGGGTCCCCACACATAAGAATATATCAAATAAAAGGGTTTATTTGAAACATGTATAGAAGTCTGAAAAAGAAGTCTTGTATGTTTTGAGAATTTACACACTTCACAAGAATGAGAGTTTAAAGATAGAGAGGGCATTAATATTTTTCAAAACTTTATCTGAAAGGTGTCCAAATCTCCAATGCCACAGTTTATTAATATGGGAATTATCTTGATTGACAACCGAAGCCTTATTCTCTTGATTAAATAAATATATCCCATGAGACAATCTTCCTTCACCAATTTTCCTCCCCGTGACCCGGTCCTGGAAAGTTATAGAGTTGGGGAAAAAAATAACATTATAATTTATGTTTTGAGTAATTCTACTAACAGACATCAAGTTAGAGGAACGAATGACATAAACAGAACTTCAGAGTTAAGAGACTTGGAGAAGAAATTTGTCTTATCAACACTATTGATAGGAATCAAGGAACCATTAACAATAGACACTGGGTTCATATTTTTATTATTTTTTAAGTTGGATAGACACTGTAAGTTTCCAGTCATATGATTTGTGGCCCTTGAATCTCTTATCCAAGAAAAAATGTTGCAGAAAGACATGGAAGCATAATGGTTACCTGTGTCTAAGAATAAAGAAGTAAGATCCTATATAGACGAAGAACCAATGTTGTTACTTGGTTGCTGATAATTATCACAGTTGTAGTGATGAGTTTGAGTGGTTACGGTATGAGGGGTAGATCTATTGGTTATCTTGTTATTAATAGGCCTTAAGTGTGGGTATAATACCCAATACTTATCATTCACATGCCCCATATTTTTGCACTGATCACATCTAGGGTGCCCTCTATTACTACGACCCCTTCCACCATCGTAATAATTGTTAGAGCTTCTAAGTTCACTATTATTTTGAGGCCTTTTTGTTTCATATTTTTCAACACTTTTTTCCAGATGTTTTGAAATTGAAATTCATGATTTTCTTTCTTGTTATGTGTTCAAGTTTAAATTTTCCAAAGAAAACGAAAAACAACTTTCGACCAAACAAAATAATTAAGTCCATTCAAAGGAACAATAATAAATTTCATTCTGGAGTTAAGTTTTGAATCAACCCTTACAAAGAGACAAAGAGAGTCAAGAGACTGTCCCGATTAATAAAAAGCAATTAAAGAATAGAAGATGGCTCAATCAAAACTAGCCGAAGTCCCCAATGAGCACTATCGTATCTCTCTCTACATATTGTCAATATGTATCCAACAGCTTGTAACAAAATCCTCACAATTGCAATAACAAGTTTCTTTCCTTAAAAATTGAATCTTACAAAAATACCCTCAAAATAATTTGCATACTAAGATCCAATACTGTGCAAACCAAGAGCCGCCAATAACCAATATGCACTTTGCATACATTAAATTGCAGCCAACGATACTAACACCTACCCGCTCAATCTGAAGGACGAATGCGTATTGGAGACCCCTCAACACATGATGAAAAGGCCAACACCGAAAATCACTGTCCATGCAAATAGGTTTTGGTGTGCAAAATAGTTTGCAATGAAAAGAGGTTAGGGTTTGCAATCAAAAAAGGAAGTACCTTAGAAAGAGGGTTTGCAATGATCAAGCCTCTGTTGCTTCGTCGCCTATAGAGAGAGAGACATACTTGGATGTGATGGGCAAAAAAACGTACCACTGGAGTAACACTGTGCACGGTTGGTTCAATGTGCAGCCTTCAGCGGTGTCAGCGCCGTACCCGTCAGCGCTACGCAGGTGACGCTAGCCACAACTCTTTTCTCAACCACCCTGCGACATCAGTAATAGTTGGCCTTACCAACCCACGTGCCTATAAGTTGTGCCCCTTCCCACTCGTATTGTCATTTTGCCTTTTCTTTTCCCTTCCCTTCCCTCAAACTCTCTCTCTCTAGAACTTAGTGTCAGCTTTTATGCTGCTGCCGTGGGGAGCAAGAGGCGACCTGCGCATGACGGACTAGGAGTGAAACTGCCATGGGGAGCAAGAGACGGCCTGCGTGGGGAGGTCTAGGAGCGTCGTGACCACAAGTAAGTGGATTTAGTGCTATGCCTCTCTTGGATCAACTTGGACTAAATGGGGTATGAATGATAGGATGAAAGAATGAAGAATGGATGAAAAATAAAATGGAATAAAATGCTTGAACATGGCCAATGAATTTTGGAAAAATTATAGATTTATTTCCTTGCCAAACTTACAAGTTTTCTTGATATGATTAAGACTAAAATTATGATTTGAGTCGATTTCTAATATGGTGATGGCATGTTAATGCTTGAGGGAAGGAGATTTTCCAGCAACTGTGCGGGCTTTTGCTCGGCCCTTTTCGCCGACCAAATAGCGTCCGAATGGGCCCAAATCAGTTTTAAAGGAAAGATATACATGTATAGTTAAAGTTTGCTTTTGTACCATGATAGAATGTCACTTGGATCAAATGATATGGCCTAAAATGTGAGACATGTCACTGCTCATAGTCGCTGTAAATTATAGCAACTGTAACTCTTTTTGGGCCGCACTTTTGGCCTGGCAAACCATGTCCAACGGTCCTCAAATTGCAACCGTTGGAAAGCCCGGTGAATAGACTTACAGTTACATGTTTTGAGATTTTCGAAATTTCCCATAAATTTTGAGTTATACCCCAAAATGTGTGAGAGTATCACTATCCACTGTTTTTCTGCAACTATTATTTGTTTAGAACTGAATTTTTGACCAATCTAATGAGGTCCTAGTGATAAGTGAAACATTGAATTTGTCTCATCTAGCTATTAATTGAAACATTAAAATTCCCTTGATAAGTGACATGTATGAATGTTGTATCATAATTGCCATGCATATGCCACAAGGTTATGTGAATGTTGCTCCACAACAATGCGCTATGTCAAAAGTGACAAGCGTCATATTCATGTGACTATTTCATGATGGAAGTTTCATGATAAGTGTCAAAATGTTGTTGATGATGTCCATGGGAAAATGTTATGCTACGATTCATGTAATGAATGTTTCGTGTTAATTGCCATACTGATATGATGAGAATGTGATTTATCTGTCATGAGGCACTGAATTGGCATGAATGAATTGAATACTCGAGTATGGAAAGAGGTATTAATGATGACCATTACGCAATGGGACACCCATTGGTAGTGGATATTGTATTTGTTACATTGATAAGAATACTGGCTACTGCTTTATTAATACTGGTCACTACACGATGGGACACCCATCAGTAGTGAAGATTGATACACCAAGGAGGTGATGCCGGCATATTCCCTAATATGCACAATGACGTAACTGGTTAGGGGAGAAAGGAGGGTCGCTCCCTGTGATTCATGAAATAAGATACGTAATTGATGGATGCCTTGCAAGGTAAAGGCCGGTCGAACCCCAATCCGCATTGGGGACCATGTACGTGGGTTGAGGGTTTACCCTCCCTCCTGTGTGATGGTAGAGGTCCTAAGCAACATGATTAGCTTGACCTGATGAATAGGATTTCTACTAACAGGAGTAGATGAATTAGGGAGTGAGTGTGTAATGAACGAATTGTGTATGTGATTTCCTATAACTGTAATGACTGCATGATTATTGCTACTCTGATATCATATCTATAATTGATGTATTGATATGTTGATTATTGCATAAGACCAATGTTCTGCAATTTACTATATTTAAATAAATTGTTTAAACATGTTACCAATGCATAACACTAGATTTGCTTACTAAGCTTCAAAGCTCATCCCACTATTTCCCCCCCCTTGTAGACTAAGAGTGGCAAGTTTAGAGTTGAGAGTGCGAGCTGTAGATAAGGATCAAGCGGCCATTCCAAGGAGGAGTTTTTGATCTTGTAGGTGTTGGGCCCTCAGTCCTAATTGTACTATTCACTTTAAACTATGTAACCTTGGGCCTTGGAACCCTGAACTCTATTGTACTATTTTTGAGTTGTAATGTAATGAAACATCTTTCTTATGAATGGATTTGCTAAATTTAAAATTTTTTTAGGCTCACATAAGTGTTGACTTTCCTTGGTTTGCTTGATTACCGATAAAAAAGCGTTAAGTCTACTCCTATCTGAGTGACAAATGCTACTTTGAGATCACGAACCTCCGCTCGGTCGCCCTCCGTTGTGAAAGGTAAGGCAGCAGGGGGTGGGGTCGTGACAAAGATTCCTTTCTATAGGTGATATTTTCTTGAGCTATTTCTACCCCTAGCAATGAAGTTAATTGTTGGATCTACACCATTCTTGGCTACTAGAACCTCAAGCCATAGTTGATTTGTATTTCCCATAGATCTCCATCACTACTTTGCAATCAAAACTTGATTAACTAACTTCAGTCTCTTGATCCTCAGTCCACTTTCTTTCTTCGGAATGCACACCGTTTCCAATTAACCAAATGGTATCTTCTAGCCTTATCCCCACAGAAAGTCCCTCATGAGTTGCTCTGTCTTCTCAGCAATATCTCCAGGCATAATAAGCAAAGACATCAAATATGTTAGAATATTTGATAATGAGGATCTAATAAGAGCGACACATCCTCTCAAAGATAAATGCTATTCCTTTCACAAATCTAGAATTATTTTATCACAGTTTCATGGGATCTTTCATGGTAAGAAATAAGCCTTCCAATTGTCTTGACATGGTCATGGCTTAAAAGTTGTGCAATGATACTACTTTTATGGCCCAATGACTGTTTTTCTATATAAGAGGTCACAATCACTCCTAGTCATCTAATATAAAAACCATTTACTTTTGATAGAAGGTGGTCACAATTACTTACAACCATCCGATATGAAATTTGATAGCTTGGATGTGTCACAAAGTTCGGTAAAATTTCTTTTGAAGTTTGAGTTTGGTCAATGAAATAATTGTAGCCAACGAATTTCACATTCAATGATCAAAATTATTATGACCACCTTGGACCAAAGGTAAATGGTCTCGGGAAAATTTCTCTGTATCCCCTATTTTTATACCAATTTCTTAGGGTACCCGTGATTTTATACTATTTTTGACGGCATTAAGTGTTTATATTTTCTCTCTTCCAACCCCTAAATTCCTTTGATTTATATTATTAACCTAAACAATCTCCCTTTTATCAAAACCCCGTTAACCCCTCCGTCTCTCTCAAAGTTCTATCTCTCAACTCAGTCTTTTTCTGTCACCCCTCTCTCTCTCACATACCTAAAGTCAGTAGATTTCTGCAACTCTCCCCATCATCTCTCTCCTCTCTCTCTCTCTCTCTCTCTCAAAACTCCATCTCTCTCCCTCTAAAAACTTAATCTCTCTCTGGCTCCTCTCTCTCAAAACCCAAAGTCTCCAATCATCTTTCTTTTCTCTCTCTCTCAAACCCAAAGTGAGTGGGTTTCTACGAGCTTTTCCTTATCAATTTCAATCCAAAGGATGGGTTGATTGCTAATCTCAAGAGAAGATGAGTGCCTGATAAAGTTCCATAACAACCATCAAGAGAAGAAAGCGGAAACATAAAACAATGAACAAGCTCCTTGAATCGCGTGTCTCGTTCATCCACATCCAAAGCACTTGCTCGAATTCTCAAGAGTCTGTAGGGGTGACCTTAGATGCAGCAAACAATAAGTAATTTCATGCTTACATTTTTCCTCATCGTTCATGAGGATTTTGAAAACTGCAAGTTTTTCTTATCCATTTCAAATTGATTAGTTAGAAAGCTCTCAAACGTTGAAGGATTCAAGGAGAAAGTAGTTAAATACCCATGAGAGGTTAACCATTCTCACAAAGCGGGGGTAGTTCTGGTTCAAAGGACGAGCCTTCCATAACAATGGGGCAGGCCAGCTCTAGCAGAGAGAGAGAGAGAGAGAGAGAGAGAGAGAGAGAGGTTGGGGAGGGTGGTGCACTGTATAGAGAGGAATTGAACATCACTGTAAACATGTGGTCTTGGACTTGTGTTAACAGTTATTGAAACCATATATTGTGTTTCCTATCTCATATTATAAGATACATTGAGTTTCCTATTTTGTGGGATTTACTATTATAGTGTAATTCTTATGAATGAAATACTGGTTTACCCTCTGTGGACGTAAACACTAATGCCGAACCATGTTTATGTTGTGTCAATTTATTTATCTTTTCTATTTTTTTTATTGCAACTTCAACATGTTATCAGAGCAAGGCGATTTATCGCTAGTAATCTATTGCTAGATGGCAACAAGTTCCACACAATAATATTCTTCTGATCTATGACTTGGGATGTTCATGGTTGTAACAGCAGCTACGTTGAAATACCTTTGGGCGTTGTCGTTTAATGGAAATAGCTATGTACTTTCAAGGCATCCATAGCTTTGGGCATGGTTATTATACTCCTTATACCATGACTCCTATGCTCCTCTTTCAAAGACTTTCCCTTTCATTAGTTGCGTGGAGGTAGCTCTTACCCTCCCTGGTGTAATAGTTTGTACATGGTAACATGGGGGGATGAATTATAGTTATTGAAATTTGGGCAGGCCTGATTCAAATTTGGCAACTCGTCTCATATAGGGAAGAAATCTGTTAATGGAAATTTTTTGGGAGTGCCCCTTCGGGGTATAGAACCAGTGCATTGTAAGGACATCTCTCTTACTGAGCAAAAGTATTTGCGAATTGTTTATTTCTTTTTGAGTTCAAAAGGTTGCAGTGCACCCTCAAGTTCACCTTGATATTAATGTACCCTTGGTGATTTCTAGAGAGAGAAATTCTCATTCTCATTGGGTTTTTCAGTTATTTCTGATTGAGGCGTCTTCTACTACTTAATTGCAATTTATTGAATATGCCAGTCTTCTGATTACCTTTATCTTCTAGTAAATGGCTGATTCAGAAAATAACTCCAGCATGAAACTTAGTGTTGTTCCTTTAAATGGACTTAATTATCTGGTTTGGTTGAAAGTTGCCGTTCTCTCTTTGAAAAATTTAAACTTGGACGCATAATTAAGAAGAAAATCATGAATCTTGATTTCATAACCTCTAAAGAAAGTGTTGAGAAATCTTTTTTGGTTGCTAATAATGAGAATATGAAATAAAAATGCTTCAAAATATTGGTGGAGGTAGAGACTCCAATAGATCTACCACGCAAACCACAACCATTCAAACCTATCACTGTAACTGTAATCATTATCAGCAACTGAGTAACAACAATGACTCTTCTTCCACACAAGATCCTTCTTCTCCATTCCCACACACAAGTAACCCTTCTACTTCTATGCTTTCTTGTAATCATTTTTCTTGGATAATAGACTCAGGGGCCACAAATCATAAGACTGACAATTTACAATGTCTATCCAACTTAAAAAATAATGAAAATATCTACCATGTGTCTCTTGCCAATGGTTCCTTGATTACTATCTATAGTAATGGTAAAACCAATTTCTTCTCCAAATCCCAAAACTCTGAAGTTTTTTTTATGCCATTTTTTTCCTCTAACTTGATATCTGTTAGTAAAATCACTCAAAGCATGAATTGGGGACTTTCCAAGACCGGGCCACAGGGAGGAAGATTGGTGAAGGAAGACTGTCTTATGGGCTACACTTATTCAATCAGGAGAATAATTGCCAGTCAAGAGAATTCTGATACTTACAAATTGTGGCATTGGAGATTTGGACATCCTTTAGATAAAGGTTTGAAAATATTAATGCCCTCTATATCTTTAAACTCTCATTCTTATGAAGTCTATAAATTCTCAAAACATACAAGACTTCCTTTTCAGTCTTCTATGCATGTTTCAAAGGAACCTTTTTATTTGATATATTCTGATGTGTGGGGACCATCCCCAGTTGATTCTTATTCGGGTTTTAAATATTTTGTTACTTTTATTTGATGATTGGTTCCTGTCTACTTAGGTATATTTATTGAAATAAAAACAGAAAATTTTCATGCGTTCGAAGAATTTTCTAAACTGATTTCTACTCAATCCAACGGTAAGATTAGAAATCTGTGGACTGATAATGGCATAGAGTATGTGAACAAAGCTTTTTCTGAGCATTTAGTGAAGTTTGGTATTATACACTAAACATTCTGTGTTGGAACACCTCAGCAGAATGAAGTTGCTGAAATGAAAAATAGACACTTTCGGAAGCTACAAGGTTTTTGATATTTCAGATGCATGTTCCACAAATTTATTGGTCTAAGTTGATTTAACTGCTTTCTATCTTATTAATGGATTTTCAAGTAAAATTCTTTGGGATAAATCACCCCTTAAAATTTGGAAAAATAAAAAAATTGATTTGTCCTATTTGCAAGTATTTCCATACATGTCTTGTGTTCATGTGGTTGTGCACAACATGGATAAATTTGATAAACATTGAAGTAAATGTATTCTACTTGGATACTCATTTACTCAAAAGGGATATAAATATTATGATTCCACAACCAGAAAAATACATATTTCTAAAGATGTTCAATTTATTGAAATAGAGTCTTATTTCCACAACACATTGGAGAGTGGATTGAAAAATAGGACTCAAGGTAAGTGTTCAAGATGTCGTTTACCCTTGCGTAATATTAGTACTAGTGATGTGTCCAACACATCAGGAACAAGTCATGATGATCAAGTTGAAACTGAAGATATATCTGAAACTCACCAAACTGGTTTGGAAGAAGAAGACTCTACCGTGGCCGTGACCCCACCTGATCCCCCTTAGCGGACGTCTTCTCGTATCTCTCAACCTTCCTCCAGACTTCAAATTTTTACATATTTCTTATGAAAGTATCTCTCCTGGCTAATTTGCTTTTTTGAGTTATATTTCTAATAATTCAGAGCCAACCAATTTTCATAATGTTATTTCTCAATCTGTGTGGAGAAAAGCCATGAAAAATGAACTTCAAGCACTTGACAAGAACCATACTTGAGACATTATTAGGCTACCTAAAAGGAAGAAAGTTGTTGGATGTAGATAAGTTTATAAAATCAAATATAATAGAGATGGGTCTATTGAGAGACATAAGGCTAGGTTGATGGCCAAAAAATATACTCAAACTTATAAAATCGATTATAAAGAGACTTTTACACCAGTTGTCAAGATGAATATTGTTCGTGTTCTTTTATCTATCACAGTTAATTGTGGGTGGTCTCTACATCAGATAGATGTTAAAAATATCTTCTTACATGGTAACCTTGAAAAAGAAGTCTATATGAGTCTTCTTTCAGGCCATTCTAAAGAAAACGAGAAAGATCTTGTATACAAATTAAAGAATGCCTTATATGGACTTAAACAATTATGTTGCGCATAGTATGCCAAACTCAGCGCAACTTTGATGAGTGTCGGGTTCCTTAAAAGCTCAGTAGATTCTTCGATGGTTATGAAAAAGGAGACTTCAGGTACAACAATTGAACTCATCTATATTGATGATATTATCATTACATGTGTTGATAAAGAAAAAATCACGCAGCTTAAAAATTATCTTCATAAGAAATTTAACATCAAAGATCTTGGTCTACTAAAATATTTTTTTGGTATTGAAGTAGCACAATAAAAAATTTCTCAAAGAAAATATGTATTAGATATGTTAAAAGAAACTGGGAGTCAAACCCGTTGACACTCCCGTTGATATTAATTATAAACGTAATTCGACAAATGAAAAACCCCTTGAAGATGTGGGCGGCTTTCAGAGACTTGTGGGTAGATTAATTTATTTGACTTTGACATGATCAGATATAATATATGTGGTTAGTCTTGTGAGCTACTTTATGCATGTTCCTAGATCATGTCATATGGAGGCCGTCGATAAGATTCTCAGATATCTTATGTAGTCACCAGGCAGAGGTGTTTGGTTGAAACTAAATGTATTATTGGTTATTTTGATACTAACTGGGCAGGTTATCCAATTGACAGGAGGTCCACTACTACCTATTGTACATTGGTTGGAGGAAATTTAGTTACTTGAAAAAGCAAGAACAACATGTAGTTACTCAATCCAGTGCAGAGGTTGAATATAAAGCTATGGCTTCAACTACAAGTGAATTGATGTGGCTAAAATACCTACTTCGAGATATGAGACTCCCAACAGTCAATCCAATGGAAATATTCTATGATAATCAAGCAGCTATGCATGTAGCCTCCAATCCAGTCTTTCATGAAAGAACTAAGCACATAGAAGTTTATTGTCACTTTGTGAGAGAAAATGTTCAGTAAAAATTATTAGTTCTCCGTATATTCAAAGTGAAGACCAACTTGTAGACATGTTTAATAAAGCTATTGCAAATACAAAGTTCCATCAGATATTGTTCAAGTTGGGCACTATTGATATCTACGCTCCAACTTGAGGGGGAGTATTGACAGTTATAGAAACCATATATTGTGTTTCCTATCTCATATATTACACGATATATTAAGTTTTTTGTGGGATTTACTATTGTAGTGAGATTTGTTTCCTAAAAGACAAAAATTGTAACTTTATAAATCATTGGTAAACCAAAGTAATCATTATGAATGAAATACTGGAGTACCCTCCGTGGACATAGGCACCATTACCGAACCACGTATATGTTGTGTCGATGTATTTATCTTTTCTATTTCTTTTATTGCAACTTCAACAACTTGCCCATGGACATCCATGAAATGTTAGCGTAGTTATTCTATGATTATCCTTAGAGGGTCTGCTCTAGTCTCTCAAGACTGATCACTTTGGGAAAATGCTCTTCACTGACTTTGAGTTTTGAGAGAGAGAGAGAGAGAGAGAGAGAGAGGAGGAGAGTAGTTAGAGAGAGGACGGGTAGGGTAACTAGTAGGTTAAGGGTAAAGGTAGTACTATTAACTAAAGTTTAGTTAAGTACTAATAATAA